GCCGAATGTGTGTGGTTTTTTTAATGTCACAGCTAGTAGCTGGAGGAAAGGGGGACTCAAACTCAAGACATTTGGGACTGAATTTTTAAAGTCATTTACAGACCATGGAAAACAAAAATAACATTATAGGCTTGCACCAGTGGCTCATGCTTGTAACCCTAGCGACTCAGAAGGCAGAGATCAGTAGGATCACAGCTTGAAGCCAGCCCAGGCAAATAATTTGTCTATCTTGAAAAAACCCATCACAAAAAAGAGCTGGTGGAGTGGCTCAGGCTGTAGGTCATAAGCTCAAGCCCCAGTACCACAAAAAAACAAAACAAAACCAAAAACAAAAAAACAATAATAACATCATAGATTCACTAAAAAAGGTATTTCCATATGAGAAGTGCTAGCATCTTAGAAGTTACAGGAAAAGGAGAATCTCAGGTCCAGAAAAGGTAAATTCTAAAGGGAAAAGGAAATGCACTTAACTTTCACAGCTCTCAAAGGTGACAGTAAACAAAGAGAGATTTATTTTAGTTTTACTAAAGCAGAAAAAACAATGGCCCAGAAAATTCCATTAGAGGAAAATCTTCAGGGTCTTACAGGCAGAAAAGAAAATACTCCCTAGAGGAATACAGATTTGGGGGAATCTTTCTAGGAGTGGCTCTGAAAAATCACTACTAAAGGAAGGACTATAAACCATTGTGACAGTTTTGACAGAGCGTGTTTGGAGAGATCAGTGAAAATAATTAAATTATTTTATGATTTTTTTTTCAGTTTATAGAGTATGCTATAAAAGAACCTGATTAATTGTTAACATTTTGACCCTTAGAAAAGTTTAAGATAACATGGGACATATTAAAGGGGTACTAAGCAAAAACAAGGAGAAAGAAAATCCTGTAGATGGAATTGAACAACAGAGGAAATTGAAGATGCACAATATTTGTTTTAATAATGCTTGAGAAGACCAGATCTTATTAATTTCACATTTTCCCCAGGTAAGATCTAGAGATAAAATCTAACAGAATATATTAGAAAGACTAATGATTCAGGCCAGGACAAAAACAAAACTAAAGAACATGTTCAATGTTGGTGAATATTGCTAGCACTATTTGTTGGTTTAAATGAACAGGACAAATTTTAAAAGCATATACACATTTAGAAATTCATTTTAATCTTTTTAAAAGATTATTTTAGGTAATAGCAGAGGGATAGAAAATAATTATGTGTCATTCTAGTAAAAATACAAAAAAAAAAAACTGTAGTGGAAAAAAAACATTATTCAGAGCCTGGGACATACCATATTTGAGTAGAGTGACTGAGTTGATAAAAAGTACTATGATTCAGCTTGACTTTTGCTAGAGTGTTGCAAGGAATTTTAAAATGAAAGTAGTGCATATTTAAACTTGGGGCATTCTTCAGTATTGACATGTTATTGGGGTTCATTATCATGTCTTTTAAGGTTGTCATTGGATTTCTGTTTTGTCATAATGGGAAATACAAAACAGACTGGGAAAGCAAAGGAGAGTTGAATGCTGATTATTACCTTTTTAGTCAGTGTAGCCTTGGAGTTATTTAGTTAACATGCCGTTATGAACCATTTTGTGTTTTCTGGGGCCAAACTTAATTGCCTACCCATGGGGCCAGGGGATACATCCAGAGGAACAATAGTTGGTATTGAAGGAAACACCTCAAGAAGCTGGGAGCAGAGCTGTCTTCAATGTTTACTCACCTTGTTCCAATCATGTGCATAGTGTTAGGAAAATACAAATATAAATCTTGAGAACATTAGGAAGAATGTTTATTTCCCACTTCCCTTGATGGGAAGAGGTGTCTAGAGCAGTCTTTCCAACCCACCTTCTTTTCCCTTACTCCATTAATGCATTAGAATGGATTGATCTAATGAGTTTGAAAGAAGGAACTGGGCGTGTTCAGCTGGGGTCAAATCCTCCACTTATTTATTTTTTTTTTTTTGTGGTACTTGGGTTTGAACTCAGCCTCATGCTTACTAGGCAGGCATGCCACCACTACCAGGTGAACCTCTCCGTCAGCCCAAGTCCTCTACCTTTATCTTTGTATTTGTCTGCCTGAGAGGAAGTTGCTTTCTTTATTCCTGCCTCATATTTACAGAAAAATTAGAAGACTTCACTCCATAGGAGAGTCTGGCCACTCTGAAAAGGGTATTCAAAAGTGCATATTGATATAGTCACCTCAAAGGAATGCTAACTAACACATTTAGCTGCAGAGTTTAGCCCTTTCACCAGCACCAAAACTGATATTTTGATTTAAGTTTTTCTAACTTCAGTATCCCTTTCTCAAGTGTTGCAAATCTTAGGTCAGAAAGAATATATTACTCTTGAACCCTTAGAACTCTAATTCCCATCACCCTGAACCAATATAACACAGCATAGCTCACACTAGTTATCAACAAAGAGCTCATTTCTAGAGAGACTGCACGGTTGGCCATCAGGAGACACTGTGGCTCTTCTCTCACCCCATGACTGTAAAGGAGTTGAAGGAATTGTCTGATGGGGGGGAGAAGGGAGAAAACAATTGGTGGAAACCTCAGGCTTGGTGTCTGAGTCATAAATCCTTTATGCAAATACTGGGCAAACCCTGGAAGAAGAAAAGTTGAACCTAACAGCTTTGATTCTTATAAAAACTGGTTATATCCAATAGTGAGCATGGAATTTAGGCACGTTTGGAATGGTTGTCAGATAGAGAGGCAACTGATAGACCAGTATCACAATTCAGTCCAAATTTAATAGGTTTTGGTGAGAAAATCATACATGTGGAAAAGTAAGAGGACATGATTCCCTCCTGCTCATGTCTCATTAACTCACAGAGATGTCTGCTTACGAGGCACCTAGCTAGACTCAAGGATCCTGATCAATACGTGGTAGAGAAGGACCTGGTCTATTCCATATGGTCACTGACACAGAAAGTCAGGATGCATCTCTATGACAATCTAAACATGGAAGCTGCCTGGAGAGTTGGTCTTCTTGCCTGGGGAGAAGATCTTGATAAAAACAGAATGTGTTCAATAAGCCAGAGCAGTTGTCTGCTAGTTTCTGAAGAGGATGAGGAAGGAACCTCCAAAGCCATCTGTCTCTTCTCTGTGGGACACTGCTGAGCCTGTATAGGGTAGAGGGAGGAGCTGGTTGGGCAGCTGTATTCTCTGATACAGGGGAAGTCAAAGACCAATAGTACTAGAACATCAGAGAAAGCATTGAAAAAGTCTTTTCTGTGATCCAGTCTGTGTGGATCCTACGGCTGTGATGAAGGTTTCAAGGCAGGACTCTGTGGAGGATGTTGTGACTATTCTAAGTTTGTGGTACCCTCAGCCTCCAGAAGACCACAAATATATTAATATCACCAGAAAAAAATTACCAAGACATGGAAATGGCCCAGAGTCTGATTTTTTTTCTCTTTTAAGGAACAAAGCACTGGGGATAGAAATGGCCGCAACCCAATGTGTGTTGAACAGATATAAGCTCAGAGTTTCTCTATTTCCTGACTCTTCGTATGGTAAATTGATGAGTTCTGGGCACAGGTGAGAAAATCCCCGTCTTAGAATATTGTGACCTGATTCAAAGTGTTTTCTATGTGTTTGTTTCATCTCCCTCCTAAGTCACGTAGCCAGCTTCGGTCTTCTTCATATGTGAGACCTGGAATGTTAGAGATGCTCAAGACACCTGAACAGAGAAATAGTCTGAGAAGTGGAGGAGTTGCATAAGAAAATGAGCAAACAATATGGGTTATGTTTTCCTCCCTAGCCCCAACCACTCAGGCTCCTAAAAAGTCTTTTCCTTTAGTTCCAGGGGAGTTTATTCTCCAGGGAAGTTCTGGTCTCTTACTGCTATTGCAATAATCTTAAATAAACTCCTTGACTATTTAAAAAAAGAAGAAAAGAAATTGAGGAGTGACCAATGCTGATTTGCTACCATTATGAAAGCCTCCCTATCTAACTTCCAAACTAGCCAGTCATGTTTTTCTTTGTGGTTCTGACATATTCCCTAGTTTGGGGCACTGAGGGAGTGTGTCTCTGTGCTAATAGCAAAGATATAGAGAGAGTGTGTTTTGTCTTCTCCATGAACAGAAATCATATTACTATCCACACTATATGATCCAGATTTTCAGATCCTCCCCACCAGAAAGTATTCATTTGAGGGTACCAGCTGTCTTACTATAGTCAGATGTTAATCATTGAAGAACCTTTGATAGAAGTAAGAAGATTAGAATTAACTGCAGAGTGGTTTGTTGAGGTGCCTTAAGGAAAGTTAAAGTTCTCCTTTGTCCCTTTTCAAACTGTACCAGGACCTAAGTATTAACAGAATTTGGAACCTGTGCTTTGATGTAGGCTGGGTGTGTGGTGGGGAAAGGGATCATACAGAACAAGGGCATCTGTCTTTACCTTCAGTGAAACTAAAATATTCACAGTCCCACCTCTTAGGGCATCTGTTTTGCCCTCCTCATGATGAGTAAATACAAATGCTTCCAGGAGGAGTCTGGGGCAAAAACTTAACTAAGAAAGGAATTATTTTGATTTTGTATGTCTGGGAGATAAGGCTTGCCAATTAGAGGAATGATGAAGTTCTTGAGTTTTAAAAAGTACCTTATTGATGCCCAGAATTTCAGGGACTGATAGCTCATCCAAGTAGAAGTGCCCAGCAGGCAGTTTGATATTTGATGCATCAGGGCAGGTAGAGTGGGAGATATGATATCTGATGGTCACAGAAGCACAGAGGCTATAAGATCTAACAGTTGATGGATGTGCTTGGGGTCTTTGAATGAACTAGCCACATTCCAGCCAAAATTATGATATATTTCAGTCAATTTTCTGTAGAGGCTCAATGTTGACCTTTGGAAGGAGGTCTTCTGAGTAGTGACAAGACAATGATGTCACTTTCAGGTCAGACTCCACCTTTGGGAAATAAGATTTCCTAGAATACTCAGCCCTGATGTTCATGCTCACAAGGGCTTCCTGTGGGAGAAGCTTCTTCTTGCTCCATCCTGTCATGGTCACCAGGCTCCTTGGCTGTGTGGTTCTTTGTTTTGTGAGAGCAGGTGAGTCCCCAGAAGTAAAGAAAATGATTTTTTTGTATATTGCTAGTTATAATTCCATTTATGTTCCTTATTCTAAACCCAAATCCTATCTCTTTTTAAAATACACAGATGCTGGTGTCACCCAGACACCCAAGCATGAGGTGACAGAGAAAGGAGAAGCAGTAACCCTGAGGTGTGAGATAATTTCGGGCCACACTGCACTTTTCTGGTATAGACAGACTGTGGTAAGGGGACTGGAAGCACTGATTTACTTTCGCTACCAGGCTCCTCTAGACAACTCAGGAATGCCCAAGGATCGATTCTCCGCTGAGATGCCTACTGCATTAGTCTCCACTCTGAAGATCCAACCTACAGAACCTGGGGACTCAGCTGTGTATCTCTGTGCCAGCAGCTTATCCACAGTGCTGCAGAATCATCTCCTCCTCATGCAGAAACCTACATGCTTCCTCTTCTCCATCCATTTCCTAGCAGTCGTCCTAGGCTCCCCCCATTACAGGAAGGACTTCATTTGATGTTCTCTCTGTTCATAACCAAGACAAGAACACAGTATAATGAAATATTACATTAGGAAACTTTTGGTACCAAGGCATCAAGGGATGGCTCCTGGGATTCCTCTCAAATTTCTCATGAGAGTGACTGAGTCAAAGATTGAGAATGAGCGTCACACACAGGATTTCTTATGATTATGCACACTGAAAGCTGGGCAGCCATGGCACAGGGATTGTGAGTTCCTCCTCTGCCTTTCACTACAATTTCTCCACCACTTCTTGTCTCTTCTACCTTAAACCTCCCAGCTTCCTTGAAAGCTTTTACTTTTCCTTGATACTATTTCTTCACTTGCTCACTTTCAATGATCATTTCCTCCAGCCCATCTCTGATATTCATTTCTACTCTCATATTTTACTCCCCAAATGATCCCTGATTTGAACCACCACAAAATACCTTTCTCAAACATCCTGTCATCTTCAATCTTCTCTTTTCCATCTCCCATACTACCTCTGTAGCAATCCTTTACCCCATTATGTCACTAATAAACATCTGCAAACTAACTGTCTCTCATGTGCTTATCGCACTTAGATTCCATGGTCTAAGAAAATTATGAAACTCTTGCACATACTGTCAAATCACCTACCTATTTTCCTCTGTGTTGCTTACCTGGAAAAATGGTGTCAATTCTATGCCTATTTGTATATCACAATGAACCAAAAAAGTCCTTTAGCCTGGTTAAGCAATATTGTAACTGTAGATTGTGTCCTGAGGTCTATAAAGCCATCGATGAATAGGGAGGTGCACATTTTACTTTTATTAAAATAATTTACTATTTCTAATTGAGTTTGTTGGTTGTATTGGCCCATTATAGTTAAACTTTTGACTATTCTTCATGGACCATAAACCTAAGAATTACAACCAAAAAGCCCAGGCATGCAGTTAGGAAACTGGATACTTGATCAGGCTTTTGAGTAACAGATAAAAGGGATAAATTACTACCAGAAAGTGAAAAATCAAACTGCATGTCACATGTACATGAAATAAAATTTTAAGCCTTGGTATGGAAAAGAAACCAAATGCTCAGAAACTGAACAAAAGGCCCATCATCACTGAATTCTTTAGTCAGCCCAACAATAAGAATCTCAGTACCAGTCTGGAGTGAACTTCTACTTCCAACTAAGATGAATTAATAGGAATCAGATTTAATCTCCCATTTTAAATATTCTAAAAAAATATAGGATGAAATATGTGAAACAACAGTTGCCAAGATACTGGAAATCATGCAGAAGTAGTTGTTAGGAATAAGTGAAGCAAATAGTATCTTTGATACTGCTAATGATACCTGCTAATGAGAAAAGAAAAAACATATGATGGTGAGGGGAACCAGGATTGTTGAGTAAGGAGCATTGAAGCTATATACAAGTTGTTTAGACAAAACCCAACAAGAAAGTGACCTTTGAACAAAGACACCAAGGAGATGATGGAGAAAGACATGCAGATATCTGGGGAAGAGTATTTCAAACACAGGGAAGAGGTGAAACAAAAACCCTAAACAATATTTGAGGTGAGAAAAAGAAGCCACAATGATAAACAAAACAAAACAAAAAAAACCAAAGGGACTGAGTAGTAAGAGGTTATGTCAATGGAGCAAGAGTGTGGAATGGATCATATAAGACCTGGGAGGCCTGTAGAGTTTTAATTTCTTTTTCTGCAAAACCTTGGGAGCTAGTAGGTGATCTGGAGCAAAATAGCTACATGATTTAGCATGTTCTAGATTGCTTGGTGTGAGAGCTAGTTAGGAAACAAGATCAAAGCTAAGAGACCAGTTAGAGGCCTATTGCAGTAACCCATACAATGGTGGTTTGATCCAGAGGGTTAAAACTAAAGGTGATGATGACTGCATGGATCATAGGTATAATCTGATGATACAGCCTTTTAAGTTTTAAATGAGTTGGCTGTAGTATGAAACAGGAAATGAGAAGTGAAGATCAACTCTAAGATTTTCAGTCAAATCAAACAGAAGGCTAGTGCAGTACAGCTGAAGATAATTTTTCATGTTTGAAGCATGCTGAGTTTGAGAGTGTTGAGGGCAAAAACTTAAAGGGGTATGTTTAAGAGAGAAAGGGAAAAGAGAATATGGAGATAACAAATATTAGAATCAGAAATAGCAAGAATAACAACACTAGGCACTTTGGATTGAAATGCCTCACAGTCTTTTGAAGCATGATATGTGAAAGAAGACAGGTCTGGATAAGATGAGGAAGGATCCAGACATCAAACTCAGAAGTTATGAATGGCAACTTCCTTAGGAGCATATATGAGGTTAATACACATCCATACCCATGAACAAGTAGATTTTAATTGACAGAAATTCTTTTTCATCATTCCCTGAAGAGGCAATGTTCTTCAGAGAACTTTGCTCCATCTTCTAGGAGCCCACTTGACTTAAGGGCGTTCCAAAACAGTGTGGGCAATGGCTGACTTCCTGATGACACTGAAGGTCAACTGTTAAGACGTGAAGATTTGCTTTGATTTTTTTTTTTTTTTGAAGTACTGGGGTTTGAACTTAGGGTCTACACCTTAAATCCACTCTGTCAGCCCTTTTTTGTGATGATTTTTTTCAAGCTAGTGTCTTGCAAACTCTTTGACTGGACTGACTTAGAAACACGATCCTCCTGATCTCTGCCTCCTGAGTAGCTAGGATTACAGGCATGGGCCATGGGGCCTGGCTCATTTCTGTTACTTCTTACAACATCCCTCACTGGGAAAAGTGCTCCTTTGTGTTACGGTCCCATCAGCTTTCAGGCTTCTCAGCATAGTGTCTCTTTGTCTCCTGGGATTGAAAAAGTTCTAAAAAATTTGAATATCTTGGAAGGATCCAAGATGGTGGTTAGGGTAGGGAGTCAGAAATCTTAGGCTCTGTGACTCTAGAAACCACCTTGAGACATTGGAGCTATACTTGGGTAATTCTGATTGCTTCTAGGCAAAATAATAACTGCCATCATATTAGGTACACATAAAATTCAAAGAATAACCCTTAAATCAGCCTTTAATTGCACCTAACAGCCACAAAAATTCCAGGAGGAACAGCCAGGAAGATGTGTCCTGCCCTGAGAAAAAGCCCCCTTGCCACTTCTCTTATTTTTTTTTCTCTTTCTTTTTTTTCCTCTCCCAACAAGCAGAAGACAGAGCATCAATCAAAATCAAACCCTGCAACATCCTGGCCCTTAACCTCCTTATACCATGCCACTTCTCCCTGCCAGCTGGTTCCCAAGCTGCTTGAATGAATCTGCAGAATGAACAGGGAGCATCATGCACCACATGTGACTCCCCTACCTACTCTCTGAGAACATAATGCAGTGCAGCCCCTAGGCAGGCTGACTTCCCCCCTCAACAAAACTGAAAAGCATAAACTGAACTGTGATCTAATGCCAACAGTGGAGGTGGGGGTGGAACACTGAACCTGCCCTGGAGAACAAGGGGAAAAACAACAAAGGCTGAGAGTGGGGGTGGGGTGACAAACCAACCTCCCAGAGGAGCTGCTGGCACTCAGCAGAGGTTGGGAGAGGCACAAAAGCTGAGCACAGGGGTGGGGCAAAAGACAACCTCCTGAAGCAGGGCAGGTGGTGGATCCTGGAGCTGATCCTGTGACACAGATGGCAGTATTCAAAACTGAATTGCCACACCTTGCTGGGGGAGGAGCTGACCAAGCAGAGTTGCAGCTAATGGGCAAGGCAGCTGCCCCTGGTGAAAACAACAACTCTGACCACCCTGCACAAACTGGCAGACTTACCTCACTTTCCATTTTCAACTTGCCCTGTGTATAGATGGAAAAAATACTACTCACAAACCAGTCACCTGGTGAGACCACATCAGTGCTCCCACTTGAACACCAATAGCAGGCATATTATCATTAAAACAACAAGCACAGAGAACAGAAAAAGACTATTCAGAGGCTGTAAGAGAGAAAAAGCAAGTAATGTATAAAGGTAAACCCATCAAAATAACAGCAGATTTCTCAATGGAAACTTTAAAAGCAAGAAGGGCATGGGATGAGGTATTTTGGGCACTGAATGAAAATAATTTCAGCATTAGGGGCAATAAGGCAAGAAGAAGAAATAAAAGGAATACAAATAGGTAAAGAAATAATCAAAATATCCCTATTTGCAGACGACATGATCCTATACCTTAAAGACCCAAAAAAGTACCCAAAACAGACACCATAAACAGATTAAGTAATGTAGCAGGATACAAAATCAACTTAGAAAAATCAGTAGCCTTTCTACACACCACCAATGAACAAATTGAGAAAGAAAACAATTCCATTTACAATAGCCTCAAAAAAATACCTTAGGAATAAACTTAACAAAGTATTTAAATGACCTCTACAGGGAGAACTACAAACCACTGAAGAAAGAGATCAAAGAAGACTACAGAAAGTGGAAAGATCTCCCATGCTCATGGATTGGCAGACTCAACATAGTAAAAATGGCTATTCTACCAAAAGCAGTCTATATGTTCAATGCAATTCCCATAAAAACTCCAAAGACATTCATCACAGAGATTGAAAAATCTGCTCTAAAGTTCATTTGGAAACACAAAAGACCATGAATTGTCAAGACAATACTGAGCAAAAAGAGCAATGCTGGAGGTATCACAATACCTGACTTCAAACTATGTTACAAAGCAATAGCAATAAAAACAGTATGGTACTGGCACAAAAACAGATATGAAGACCAGTAGAACAGAAAAAAGGACCCAAATATGAATCAACACAGCTATGCCCAACTTATTTTTGACAAAGGCTCCAAAAATATATGATGGAGAAAAGATAGCCTCTTCAACAAATGTTGCTGGGAAATGTGGTTATCTGCCTGCAGAAAATTGAAACTAGATCCATGCCTATCACCCTATACTAGTATCAACTCAAAGTGGATTAAAGATCTTAATATCAGACCCAAAACCTTGGAGTGAGTACAGGAAAGAGCAGGGGATACCCTGGAAGCAATAGATATAGGCAAGG